TTTTTTTTTTTTTTGGTGATAACAAGAAACATGATGTCTCGAGCTTTGAAACTCGGTGTATAATAGGTTCACCCCTCTAACTTTCTCAAGTTAAATACCAGCCTAGATTCACCAACCCGGCTTCGAACTAATGGCATGCGTCTACCACACATCCAGCGAGAACACACACGGCATGGACTACCAACATATCTTGTTATGATTGCTCCCCACGCTATCACATCGATAAGGACCTAGAGAGCTGCCTTCGCGTTTGGCATTCCTTCGTAGATCTCCGGATTTTAACCCTACACACGAAATTCCACACTGCTTGTCTCACTCGAGTGAATCAGTTTCAAGAGTATTCCGCCAATTTTTGGCGTTGTAATACCTTTTGCCCTACTTAGCAAAAGATAGGACACAATGGAAGAAAAGATAAACGATACATGTTATTTGAGAATATATTTTAGACATTAGCACTTTTACAATAGCTCTTATGCTTTCTCAGACTGGTTTAGACTTTCAGAAATTTATACACTTAGAAAATATCCAGAACTTATACTTTTTATTTAGATTTGCATAATATTGGCATGAGATGAGTTTAAATGAATTACATGGTTAGAGAGGATTCATATCGCCGACCAAACTTGTTTGGTGCTGAGGCGTAGTAGTTGTTGTTGTAATACCTTTGCCTTTGAACCCCTGGCTACTCTTTGAGTACAGACTTTAAAAAAAACGTGACCCCAGTCTCTCCCAGCCCACTCAAGCTCATTATTAGTGAACAAAATCAGCTGCACACCATATCCTTGGCGATTCAAATCACCTCTCCTAACCCCCCTAATCTAAAACTTACCCCCACCTTGTATTTACACAAACTCAATGAATATATGGCACATATCTTCACATGCCATTCTTATCACTAAATCATAGTTAATTAATACTTAATTTATGAACTAACCATGGTAAATTAGAATGATCTGGTGTAAACACTGAGTTTTTACCATTTAATTGCATATGAGCAACCAATTGTGAAAAGTCAACCTAGTTATCTCCAAAATCCCATGAGATAGAAAAAAACAATATTGATATGACCAATTTTTGATAAGAGCATTTCTAACATAATGATGCTAAATTCGCCCAAGGGTGTCACACTAATGGTCAATAAAGTAGGTGGAGAACTACAAAGTCTTCGGGAGTAAAAAATACCGGGTGATTTCTTCCTATAAGTCCAAGGAGAATTACCCACCTATACAGGTGGGGGTACACAGTACCTGCTGGAACAGTCAAGATGCACTCAGCGGTCAAAGAAAAAACATAATACTGCTAAATTCTTTGTAATTTAGAAATTAGTACTACTACTATATACTAAAGAAAAATTCAATTCCTCAACACAGAAATAATTATTAAAAAACAGAGAATAGTGCCCATGAAAAGAACATTTTAAATTGAAAATAGTTTTAATGAATTAATTAATGAATTTTAGAAGGGGAAATAATAAAGAAATGGAGGAAAGTTGCAACTTTTACCTAAATCGGAGTAGTGGACGGCGGCGATAAGCTGAGGAATCAGTAATATAGCAGATGACGGAGGTTGATTTGGGAATTTTGAATCATCGTGGACGATTTTCAAAACCCTAATTCGATGTTTTGTTCACAGAGAAGTAGAAATTAGCTTAGAAATATATTTGTGCCTTAACCCGTTTTTGAGTTTGTCTGCTACTTTGGTACCCGCTTCGACCCGTTTGCTTTGGTTAAGATTTTTGTTAAATGTTTTTTCATAAATATTTTGGAGAATATTTTGGACATAAAAAAAAAAGTCTTTTGAAATCTTTGATAATGTTATAAAATAAAGACTGTAAAGTAAAGACAAGTATAGAGAGAAATTGATATATTATTCAAACTTTAAATTTATGTACATAATGAACCGAAAACTCCTATATTTATAGAAGAAAGGAAGCAACTGCGAGACTTTTTAGGAAGCAGCGGCAAGACTTTTCTTTAGCTGATTGTAAGTTGTCTGCATAAACTGCTTGCAACCTGCCTGTTTAATAAGAAGCTGCTGCAAATCATTTCATTGAGCTGCTTGCAACCTGTCTGCATCAGCTGCTTGTAGATAAACTTCAACAGAATACTAAATGGATAATCTTCTTCAGGAAGATTATCTATAGCGGAGTAATAAATGGACATCCAAAATATAATTATTTTCATAACACTCTCCATTGGATGTTCATTAAAAGGTATTGTACCTCGTTAAAACCTTACTAGGAAAAACCCAGTGGGAAAAAAATCCTAGTGATAGAAAAAGAGTACACATATTTAGTAATACGCATTTCTAGCTGCCTCATTAAAAATCTTATAAGGAAAACACTATTGGAAAATCTTAATAAAGAAAAAAGAGTACATCACATATTTTACTCCCCCTGATGAAAACCTTGTTTCAAATATTTGAGTCTTCGCATTCCAATCTTGTATACCATCTTCTCAAAAGTTGAAGTTGGCAAAGATTTAGTGAATAAATCTGCCGGATTGTCACTTGAACGGATTTATTGTACATCAATGTCACCATTTTTCTGAAGATCGTGTGTGTAGAATAATTTTGGTGAAATGTACTTCGTTCTATCTCCTTTTATAAATCTTCCCTTCAATTGGGCTATGCATGCAATATTATCTTCGTATAAAATTGTGGGTCTTTTTTCTCACATTCCAAACCACATTTTTCTCGAATAAAATAAATTATTGATCCCAACCATACGCATTCCCTACTTGCTTCATGAATAGCTATTATTTCAGCATGATTTGAATAAGTAGCAATAATAGATTGCTTTGTGGAGCGTCATGATATGATAGTACCTTCACATGTAAACACGTACCCGATTTGAGATCTAGCTTTATGGGGATCAGATAAATAACTTGCATCNTAACCATTGGTGTACTCAATAGGTGTGCTTTGTCCATGTAAAAGCGTTTTAAGACCCTTTATGTATAGGCAGATTGATGGATAAAGATCCCGTCTGCTAAATGTTCAATTTGCAGACCAAGACAAAGTTTTGTCTTTCCAAGATCTTTCATCTCAAATTATTTCTTAAGATATTCAATTGCCTTTTGGAACTCTTCTGGACTTCCAACAAAATTTATGTCATCAACATAAACAGCAAGTATAACAAATTCTGAAGTCATTTTCTTTATAAAAATACATGGACAAATAACATCATTTATGTAACCCTCTTTTAACAAATATTTACTGAGGCGATTATACCACATGCGCCCAGATTGTTTTAAACCGTACAAAGATCTTTGTAATCTAATTGAGTACATTTTTCGAGATTTTGAATATGCTTCAGGCATTTTAAATCCTTCAGGGATTTTCATGTAAATTTCATTATCAAGTGACCCGTACAGATAAGTTGTAACCACATCCATTAGATGTATTTCAAGCCTTTCACGTAATGCTAAATTGATGAGATATCGAAATGTTATGGCATCCATAACGGGTGAGTATGTTTCTTCATAATCGACTCCAGGTCGTTGTGAGAATCCTTGTGCAACAAGGCGAGCCTTGTATCTTTCAACTTTATTTTTATCATTCCTTTTTCGCACAAAAACTCATTTATGACCAACTGGTTTTATACCAACAGGTGTTTGGACTACTGGTCCAAAGACCTCCCTTTTAGCAAGTGACTTCAATTCCGATTGAATTGACTCTTGCCATTTTGGCCAATTAAATCTTTGTCGACATTCTTCGACAGATCGGGATTCAAGATTCTCACTGTCTTGCACAATGTTAAGTGCAACATTATATGCAAAAATATTATCCACCACTATTTCAGATAGATTTAAATTAATCCCATCAACTGTAGACCTTATTAAAAGTTTCTCACTCACTTGAGTCTCGGGTTCATTGATTTCTTCATGAATCTCAAAACTAATCAAATATTGGGTCTCTTCAGGAGATCCCTTTATAATATCATTTTGATCATTTGTCGATTTTCTTTTTCTAGGATTTCGATCCTTAGAACCCAAAGGCCTACCACGCTTCAGGCGTGCTTTAGGTTCACTAGTTCTTATGCTAGTAGATGGTCCTGCTGGGACATCAATTCGTATAGGCATATTCTCTGCAGGGATATGTGACTTGGTTATCCTTTTCAAATCAGTAAACGCATCTGGCATTTGATTTGCTATATTTTATAAATGGATGATCTTCTGGACCTCCTGATTACATATAGGGGTACGTGGATCAAAGTGAGATAATGATGAAACTTTTCACAAAATTTCTCTTTTGATTTCCTTTTTCTCTCCCCCTAATTGTGAAAAATTTATTTCATCAAATCGACAATCTGCAAATCGAGCAGTAAATAAATCTCTCATCAATGGTTCAAGATAGCGAATAATAGAGGGTGATTCAAACCCAATATATATTCATAACCTTCTTTGGGGCCCCATCTTATTGCGTTGTGGTAGTGCTACTGACACATATACAACACATCCAAAAATTTGTAGATGGGAAATATTTGGTTCATGACAAAAAACTAATTGTGACAGAGAATATTTATTATAATGTGTCGGTCTGAGACGGATAAGTGATGTTGCGTGTATATCGCATGGCCCCAAACAGTAATGAGCAATTTTATTTTCATAAGTAGTGGTCTTGCTATCAATTGCAGTCGTTTAATAAATGACTCTGCAAAGCCATTTTGAGTATGAACATAAGCTACAGGATGTTCAACCTTTATCCCAACTGATAGGCAGTAATTATCAAAAGCTTGAGATGAGAATTCTCCAACATTATCAATGTGGATAGCCTATATATGATAATCTGGGAATTGTTTCCTTAATCGAATTATTTGGGCTAATAACTTTGTAAATGTCAGGTTGCGAGATGATAATAGGCACACATGAGACCATCTTGAAGATGCATCTATTAGGACCATAAAATATCTAAACAACCCACTTGGTGGGTGAATAGGTCTACATATATCCCCATGTATACGTTCTAAAAAGGTAGGGGACTCAATGCCAACCTTCATTGGTGATGGTCTAGTGATCATTTTGCCTTGATAACAAGCATCACAAGAAAATTCATCATTTGTAAGAATCTTCAGGTTCTTTAATGGATGCCCACTCGAATTTTCAGTAATTCGTCTCATCATTATTGATCCAGGATGGCCCAAACGGCCATGCCAAAGCACAAAAGTATTTGAATCAGTAAACTTCTGGTTTACGATAGAGTGTGCTTCAACTGTACTAATTTTTGAATAATATAAGCCAGAAGATAAAGTTGGTAACTTTTCTACAATGCATTTCTGGCCAGAAATATTCTTTGTAATACAAAGATATTCCACGTTCATTTCATCTATTGTCTCAACATGATACCCATTTCGGCGGATATCTATAAAACTCAACAAGTTTCTTCGGGACTTGGAGGAGAACAATGCATTGTCTATAATAAGTTTTGTTCCCTTAGACAGAAATATTATGGCTCTTCCGGAGCCTTCAATCAAACTTATATTACCAGAAATTGTAGAAACATTTGCTTTTTCTTTATGCAAATAAGAAAAGTATTTTTGATCTTTGAATATGGCATGAGTTGTTCCACTATCAATTACACAAATATCTTCNAACAAATATATTCATGATTGATGTTTGATCCAAACATAATTTGAGGATTATCCATATTCTTCAAAATAGCATAATAAACAAAATAAATATGATAGTAAACATTATTATCAAAGCATAACTTTTATTTATGTACAACAATTACATAACCATACTATCTACTACAAACAACAAAAATTAAAATATTTACATTTTTACATATTCACTACCGATCGCATGACTTGCTTCTTCTTTTGGGAGTGCAAAATAACCAGCTACATCCAAATGCATGAAGTCTAAAATATCTTGAGAAATAAAATTTGCTTCAGCATTTTTCTCTGTCTTCTTCAGGGAGGCTTGATACAACTCAACCAGGTGCTTTGGCGTATGACATGTACGTGGCCAGTGCCATTTTCCTCCACATCTATAGCATACATTTTCTGGCTTTGTTTCTTGCACCGCTTCATGCTTTTATTTCTTCCTTTTCCACTGCTGGTAGTGAGGAGGGTTCTTTGGTGCATTGTTATTACCACGATTAGAGTTTTCTCCCCGACCACGGCTATGACCACGACTGGGGCCACGTCCTCTTCCACGCTTAGCTTGGTGGAAGTTCGTCTCATTCACTTCATGGAATGGACAAGAACCAGTAGGTCGGCTTTCATGGATTTTCATTAATAGCCCATTATGTTGCTCGGCTACAAGAAGATGTGAGATAAGTTCAGAATACTTTTTGAATCCCATCTCTCGATATTGCTGCTGCAGGAGCATATTCGAGGCATGAAAAGTGGTGAAAGTTTTTCTCCAACATATCATGATCAGTAATATTATCACTACATAGTTTCAATTGGAAAATAATTCTGAACATAACAGAATTATACTCACTGATAGATTTAAAATCTTATAGCCTTAAATGAGTCTAATCATAACGTGCCTGTGGAAGAACGACCATCTTCAGGTGGTCATATCTATCTTTTAAATTATTCCACAATATGACTGGATCTTTAACAGTAAGATATTTCATTTTCAGGCCCTCATCAAGGTGACGGCGTAGGAATATCATTGCTTTGGCACGGTCTTGGTTTGATGCCTGATTTTTATCTTTGATGGTGTCTGCCAGACCCATCGCATCAAGATGAATTTCGGCATCAAGCACCCAAGACATGTAGCTTTTGCCCGATATATCCAGGGCTACAAACTCAAGTTTAGAAATATTTGACATTATTTAGAAAAATAAAGTTCGTACCTCTGATACTTTTAAAGTATTTTCTCGAGATGGCAGAGTCTCGTGCTGATAACGTGTTAT